TGACACTAAAATATTTTTTGTAGAAAAAAATGTACTTACCGAATTTACACGTAGATGCTGAATATCCTCAAAATCGTCTGTTGTTTAAGAAATCAAATATACTGCGTTGGCACTGGTGCGGTGTTCAATGAAGAAAAAGGCCTGAAAATGAAATAAAAAATGATTAATTGTTGTACAAAGTGGATGACTAAAGCATTATTTGGTTAAATATTTATATGTCTATAGGCATATTTAACTGATTGAATTAGTTAGTAAAAATTTTGTAGAGAAACACAGGTAGATGATATCGAATGTGCACCTACAGGACAGCGGGGCGTCGCCACGTTCCTTTGTCCTCGCTCTCGGCCGCTCTTTTGCTCGTGAACCTTTAGATGACCTCAGTGCATATACTTTATAAACAGTCCTGAGAAGGAAGAATCCAGACAGAAAATACCTGCCAAGATTTCCTTTGTACAAACTAACATATTAAACCCGGTTTTCTTTCATATTATAAAACATTCAAGACCCCCGCGAATCATAATTTCTTTCCAAGGTATATCGTTCACATAGTACGTCACGCAAATTTGAATTTGTAGGGTAATGGAGCTCTCACAGCTCTGCCTGCCTGCGCAGGCAGTAATTGGAGTAAGAGAGAAAATCAATTAGAGTGAAAGAGACAGTAAATTCAAATTTGTATGCTGCCTACTAGCTGTGAGAGCGCCTTAAGTTTCACCGACTTCGATTAAAAGTTAATCATTAAAGGCGCCATACCTTCAATCAGTTATTTTACCTAATTTACACAATTTTTCTTAATGTTTGCTAAAATATTTATACTCACGTGTATTAAGTTCCCTTTTGGTAAGAATCCTCCTGCATTTCAATTATGCACTGAAAACGATGCTTTCATCAAAAACTTCTTGTTGAGAATGATACTTGTCGCTGTCAGTGAAATGTAGGTAATTGTAAACTTCTATTCCTCCTGTTTGTAGAGTTAGTCGAAATGGCGGAGGAATCCGCTGTCAATGTAGTACAGCACTAACTCCTGTTAGTAGAATTAGCCAAAATACCGCAGGAATTCACTACCAGTGAAAAATGTAGGTCAAACTTTCAGTATAAGTTATGTTAGGCACCCTTTAGTATAATTATCCAAAATCGCACAGGAATAAAGAAATCTTTCCTTCAGTTGATGTTCGAATACTGAAAACAAAAGAAAATGATTAAAATCAGAAATTTTACACACTGATGATGGTAGAAAAAAATTTTATCGAGGCAAATTTTAAAGTAAAGAGTCACACAAAGCGAGTATATACCTGAAACGTTAAACATTACTCGGATCCTAATTAATCGTGTGTAATTAGTCAGGGGTTGATTAAAGCCTTTCCAGATTCGAGCTCAGTGTAACTTATACTCGATGATCGTGATCGAGTCGATCCTTTTAGGAGAAGTGAACGTCTATCAGGCCATTCAATCTAGCTGGACTACCGTTTACAGCGCGCTTTAAAGTGCTCACAGGTGCACACACCGATACACACATTATATCTCTCTATATATATACTCGCACGTGTGCACATCCACACTTCATTCTCATCACAGTAGAAAATATGTACATGCAACTATTAAAGACCACTTGTTTTTCCAAGGGCGCGGAACCTATAGAGAATGTTTAGGTTCATCTATACCCAAAGAAAAAAACCACTGCCTGTTTTCTCATTTCTCGAAACAAATTGATGAAAATGGGGTTTTATTAACACATAAAAATAACCTATAATATTGTCTGCTTCCAAGGTCTCTTTCAACAGAACGCGTCACTCTGATATCATACTAAAGTGATAAAATTTGAAAGGATCAATGTTTTCAGATATTTCTTAGAAGAATCATATTCTGCCTTCGCGTAAGTCACTATTTGATTTTCCCACAATTGAAATACCGTCTTTTCTATGCAAATTTCTTTTCGAGACTTCAAAAGCTTCTGGAGAAGTAGCGGCAGGACATGCATTACATATTATCGTATATGATAGCGTCATCTGTACAGAGTGCACCCCGCACAATGTACACAAAACCTTGTATACACTACCAACATTTGACTTGGCAGTTGAAGAACTATATGTCCAATGTATACACACTTCATTGAGTGCAGGTGCTCTTGCAGTTCTTATATGCGACAAATACTACATATATATACTTGCAAAGAAAAAAACATCGAGTCTGCGAATTTTAATATACATACCCCATAATCTAATTATTCTAGCACTTTAGCCTAAAAATAAGAGAGTCTAAAGTTCCGGCAAATCGGAGGTCTAAAAATGGCTAAAATTCGGGCTAATCGGAGCTCTAAAAATTACTAAAGATCTGGACCACATAATCCAATTATGTAACATCATTTGAGTCCTAAATTATTTTTGACGATAACAATTGTTAGCATCATCCATATAGACTCTTATAATCGGGAACGCAAACTGAATCGCAATCTTACGATTGCGATTCCGTTTGCGTTCCCGATTATAAGAATCTGACTTTGACCTTTAGGAGTAAAATGTATTTTTCAATCCGTTTTCCAAAAGCAAATAAAGGAAGAGAAGAGTTTTTAAAAATTATGCGAGGAAAAATGCCCCAAGACAGCTGTTTCTTGCTATTCAGTAAAAATCCTTGTCTCTAAACATACTTTAAATGCAAGTTGAAAGTAAAACATATAAAATATCTGCGAGGAAATTACGAGTCTGAGATTAGAATAAAATTCCCAAAAATCAAATATCTCTTAAGTGCATACCAAACAAGAATCTTCAACTACATCAGTGAAAATATATTATATACGCCGCAGAGGTGAAAAAATAATTCCTACTTAACACGTCTGCGCGATGCTCGCATATAGTGAAAATATAGATAAAATATATCACCGCATCTTCGAAGTGCGGATTCAACGATACAAACGACACACTTGTGTCTAAACTCTTAACACTCACTCAAAAGCTCGCTCAAAAGGGTCACAAAAAACACCTGCGAGAAGGCATATGTATGTATATTTCGCTGCATATATACACTCTAACATATATATATCGAGTTTCACGCGACAAGTGCAGCGCCAAACGACCGAGTGAACAGGTTCAAGTCAGTTATGTAGAGGGTTGGAATGCGATATGAATGCGCTAATGCCTCGTTACTGACAGTAACACGATACATTGATAATTCCAAAGTCCATCCCACCCCCGAGTTTAGTACCTATATATTTCTCAGGACCATACACGTGTATTCTGTATGTGTACTCTTTTTCTATCTCATATATACGCTCTTCTTTTTGTTTTAATTCTCATTTCAATTTAGATTGTCGATTTACAATCGCGAACTCGATGCAAATCGGGCTTAAAATGTAATAACCTTGCCAGTTGCCAGTTACAATTAATTCCATTGGAATTCTCAAAATACTGCGCGCGAGACCAGTTCACATACTATATAGATAATTTGACACTTCAACAACTGGACAGTGATACGTATCGACCAAGCCCGACAATTGATTTTGCGTCGAGTTACTATATCATATACATTCACGTTAGTTGTGCTTTAAAAGGAAAGGTACGTTACTGGTCAAAAATAAAATAAAACCTTGCCAATCGAAAATTAACACTATATACGGGCTGTGGGAACCATCTAGGAAAAAAAACCATGTTTGTTCCAAAAACGCTCTTAAAACTTTTTTAGAACGTTTTCATGTCCGTTAAATAATGTTCTAGAACATTTAAACATTCATGTTTTTTAAATGTTTTGGAACATTATTTACCGGACATTAAACGTTCTAGAAACGTTTTAAGAATAACGTTCTTTGCTCAGAAGGAATTTGGAGTTAAAAATGAAGTCATGGTAAAATTTCTGAGATAGTGAAGAAAGGTAGCTTAGAAGTAAATTATTTTGAGGTTATCTTTGTGTTATTTGTAGGTCCTGGCTATAAGTCCATCCTCTAGTCCATTCCAGCTTATAGGAGCTCCAAAAATGGCTAACGGTCCAACTAACCAGGTAACCTAATAATTCTAGCATTTTAACCGAAAAATGAGAAACTGGCTAAAGTTCTGGCTAATCGGAGCTCTAAAAATGACTAACGGTCCAACTAACCGGATAACCTAATAATTCTAACATTTTAACCAAAAAAATCGTTAGCCATTCTTAGAGCTCCGATTAGCCGGAACTTCAGCCACTTTCTTATTTCTAGGTTCAAATGCTAGAATTATTCGGTTATCAGGTTGTGGCTAAATGGCTAAGGTTCCTTTAGCAATTTTTAGAGCTCTGCCTAACCGGACCTTTAGCCATTTTGAAACCTCCGATTAGCCGGAACCTTAGCCACTTTCTTTAAAAATAAGATGACCTTTTGCCAAATGCAGTTATGTTTCGCAACTACCACGTCGTTTCCTGCGACTTGAAAAGAAAACTCAACCAGACTTTTTTGTCTCCATTAACCTGCCATACTAACTAAGAAAAGAAATCCTAATGAGACTAAATAATGAAAGATTTTCTCCAAGGAAGTCAAATGGGCGTTTTTTCCCCGGCGACTTGTAAACCGCATAAAAATTGAATAAAAATGATTGACATCTGGGAAAATGAGCTATCAAAAAATAAAATCTTTCAACTCCTAAGGATTTGTAAATACAAATCCATAATAAAAAAGTGAAATCGCAATAATTGCACCGCGGTCACGGTTCAAAAATTTCGCGATACCTCGTGCGATAGATTGGCGGTTGTTTTCCTCTAGCGGTATGGTAAACCTGCAGGTATTATATACGCAAGCTCTCGCATCGTATAACCAGAGAGGGAAGGAGGCAGGTATTGGCGCCACCTCCTGCACGGTTAAGCGACTTACGCCTTACCGCCTCTCCAACCCCACTCTCCGACCTCTCTCTCTTTCCTTCTCTCTCTCGCTTCAACTCCCCCCGAATCCCTCCCTCTATTCCTGGTGTCCCTCTCCCGCTGATGCTGCAACTCGAGCTCGAATAACCTAGCCTAACCCGCGGGCGAACTTCATTCCACGCCGACTGACCATCACCGACGGCTGTCCTCGTCGTCGTCGTCATTATCATCATCATCATCATCACACTAATTTAACAGAAAGAAAGAGAGAGATAGAGGGTCATAAAAAATAGACCGGGAGGGAAGAGTGGTACCGCGGGGGTCGCGGTGTCCTCTGCACTTTCCTTCTTTTTCCAAAAGAGAAGAATTTTAGCCGGTACTGCGATTTCTTCAGTATTGACTCTTTGATAGTGACTGAATAGTAGGCCTACTGAATAGCTTGCTAAATAGCTTGCTGAATAGCCTGATTAATAGCCTTAATAGTGACTTTATTAGTGACTGTTCAGTGATTATTCGTGACCTTGTGGGGGAGAAAACGAACTTTTGTGCCCAGTGCAACCGCGGAAGTGGTAGCAAAGAGATTTTGTAAACAAAAAAGTGATAGTGATTAATTGCGGGCAAAGTAAACAAAACTCAATCTAAGGATTTTGTGTTGAGTTTTTCAAGAGAAAAGTGCGGAAGAATTAAGGGACTAAAGAGAAAAAGAAGATGGACATGTCAGAAGATTGTTGGGACCACGTGGGGCTACTTCAAGAGGTCCCGGGAGCGGAACAACCGCCACCGCCACCCCCGGCTCCTGATTTTCTCATGCACCATCAACACGAGGTGGGTTTACGAACCCTTAACTATAAGCTCTATTAATTTTTTAGAAATTAATTTTACGAGTATGAAAATATTTAGTTTTACGTACAAGTGTACGTGTTAGTATTACTTTTACGTAAACGTAAACTAAAACCAGTAAAGAAAATAGAAAAGTATTACTGCTACGTTTAGTTTTACGGTTTAGAATTATTGCTACTATTGGGTATTTAAAATATTCGTACGTTTAGATTTGATTATTGGTATTATTTCTACATTCGGGTTTGCGAATTAGTATTACTTCTACGTTTCGGTTTTCGTATTAGTATTATTTCTATACGTTTACGTTTGAGTATTAGTATTACTTTTACGCATAATAAAACGTATTAGTATTATTTCTACGCTTACGTTTGAGTATTACTTTTATATGACAGACAACGTACTAGTATTACTTTTACGTTTGGGTTTTCGTATTAGTATAATTTCTACGTTTACGTTTGAGTATTAGTATTACTTTTACCCAAAATAAAACGTATGAGTATCATTTCTACGTTTACGTTTGAGTATTAGTATTACTTCTAAGTTGACGTTAGCGTATTAGTATTATTTTACCAAAAACAAAAACGTCTTAGTACTACTTTTACGTTAGCGTTACTTTTACTGTTTTTTTTACTGTTAGTATTACTTTTGCGAATACTATTTCGTTTTAGGAGTAATAGTACGTCTACGTTTGAGTAATAGAATTACTTCTAAGTTTACGTTAACGTATTAGTATTACTTTTGAATATAGGATCACGTTTTGATGGCATTAGTACCTCTACGTTTACGTTTGAGAGCTAGTTACGTTTGAGTATTAGTATTACTACGAAATTTACGTTTGCGTATTAGTATTACTTTACCAAAAACAAAAACGTTTCAGTATTATTTTTACGTAATCGAAGACGTATTAGTATTACTTTTATGTCTACATTTACGTAATATTATTCTTTCTTTATAATACGTTTACGTTTTAGTATTACTTTTACGTAAACCAACTACTTTTAACGTACGCAAATACATATTACGTTTACGTACTCGTATTCTCTTTACTTTTTTCTATATATATGCACCATTTAATAACACATTATACAATTGTTTCAATTTTTTTTCGATCAATCGGATAATAAATATTAAGACAAAAAAATTTCCCTAATTCGTAAAACATGTCTCAAAATTCTCCATATCAGTAAACAAAATTTTTTTCAACGCAAAAGATAAGAGATAACTGAATTGAGAAATCGAATGATTAATTTTTTTTTAAAAAATGTGGAGAAATTATTTTTGGGTTTTAAAATTCTTTCCTCAATTAAGTATATACTGCGCGCATTGATGATAAAGGACACTGTTGATGATAGGCGATGACATTTTAAAGATTATTTATAAAAGATAAATGAATCATCGATGATAAATGATTCAATCATGACAGATGATTTATTGATCATAAATGATCAACTTTTGTACATGGAGCTAACGGCCAATGGCTGACGAAAATTTTGACTATAACTATTTAATATATATATATATATATATATATATATATATATATATATATATATATATCTATAAATTTGCTCATAAAATTCGTATTTCGCTTTTTTGAATTTCGAATTTTATATTTTATTTTTAAACTATATATGGATAATAAATATTTAAATAATATTATAATCAAAATATATATTTTTTATGGGAATAAAAGATAATATTATATTTTTATAATTGACCCAGAGAATAGAAATTTTGATCATAATATTATTTAAATATTTACTGTCAAAATAGCTTGAAAATAAAATATATAAAATTTAATATTTAACTCAGAGCCTACTAAATATTTGTTTTAAATAAATTTTCTTTGGTTCAAATAAATAATTTAGTATAGATTCTATAAAAAATATATTTTTATTTAGCAAGAATGAATTATATTTGGTTTAAATAAAACATTTTCCTGACACCATAAAATTACTTAAGACTTTAAGGGTGGGGGAGGTTTAGCTATTTTTTACAATTAATAGAAATAATAGCGCTAATGTATATAAAATATCTTACGAGGGGTGAGGGGGGGGGTTAAAATTTCCCAAAAATGCCTCAAGTATTTTATGGACGACCTCATATTTATAAACATAAATATAAATTTATTAAATTAATTTCAAATAGGGTAAATGCACTAGTAGTCGGACACTTAAGGATACAATCTTAAATTATGTTTTATTTCTTGAAATAGCAAATATCTACTGTGTTTATAAGCACATTATTAATTAAAGGAGTTCTTCAGGATTAAAAATCATATAAATTTGTTACAAATACTTGAGTATTTAATAAAATATAAACATTTTAATAAAAAATTACGACTGCTTTAGTAGTCGGACACTTTTTCCCCTTGTTTCTATAGTCGGACATCTGTCAGATATTTTGAATTTATAAAAAGAAAAAGATAATTTTTTAATTGCTATCTGCTGGAAAATCGAATTAAAGCATATTAGAAGTTATTAATATAATATTTAAACCCTATAAGTTTTAATATTTATGATTAATTATCAACAAAACTTTGTGCCACTCATCGCGCTACTCGAAAATGGTTGTATCTATAGTCGGACACCATGATTTTTAAAACATTGAATAAAATATTTCTTGTTTAATTATTTTCGAAAATAACACTATTTTAATAAAATATAAACTTCACACATTCGTCTAGTATACTTTTTAAAGTAATTATCACAATCCATTATTATTTATTTGCCAAAAAACACGAAAGTGTCCGACTACTAGTACTGTCCGACTATACCCGCACTTACCCTATATTAATAATTTAATATTAAATATTAGGTAAATTAAAATTTAATTTGAAATATATTAAATAAATATAATATATACAGATAAATATAAATATATGTAGGTATTAATATAAACATACATATAAATATAATAAAAAAACTAAATTTATAATAAATAAAATTAAAACTCACGTGTATAAAATATTTGTCGCATGAAAAGTAAATTCAAAATAAATTGAATTGTCTAGATCAATGCGGGCTATTAGGCCGAACGTATATAACACTAAATGTCATTTTGTAAAAGTGAAAAATCATTAAGTTGATAAAATTAAATTTGCAAAAACTTGAATGTTATAGGTGTATTTGCAGAAACAGAAATTTATACCCTAAGTATAAATTCAACGACTGTTTGAGTTACAGGTCATAAATCATTTATTTTGTGTGTGTAATTATTATTCATGTTATTTCTTCATACATCCTTGCTTTATTAAATACGACAAATCGTTTCTTTATATACACCTATTAAAGGCGTATCGTTTCTTTTTTTATTATATATAATCTATGATTTGTAAAACATGAAACAAGCCGTAAAGAGCAATCATGATATACGTAATCTTAATCTAATTACAATAATCAAATTTTTACTCGTGTTAAGTAATATCGTTATATATAGTTTAAAATCTTGAAAAGTAAATAAAAAAAGCTATCTTTATTCCTAATTGTTATAGTTTGAAAAAAAAATTCTATCTTCAAAAAATGAGTGATTCTAACCACTCATTTTTTTAAGATAGAATTTTTGTGCCTGGCACCAATTTTGATAAATAAAAACTTAAATATAGAGATTAGAAAAAATTTTGCAAGGAAATAATCATAATTTTTGTTTTTAGATATTTTTTAAATGTATCTGATGACAATGTCATGAAAAAGATTGTACATAAATATTCATACTATTTTATTAAAAAAGCAGGCAAACTCTCAACGTAATTTTCTATGTTCGAGAAGGTTAATTATTTATTATGTTTATCAAACATTTAAGATCAGTGTTAATTATTTTTATTGCGGTAGAACACGCATGTGACGCTACATATACTTTAGTACAAGATAACTCGTCGTTCGATCCATCCCATATAGAATAAATATATTTCACATTAAATAACGAACGTCTCTATTTAGCATAAAAATTCGAAGCTATTTATTTTTTTCTGTCTTTTTTTTTCTCAACTATATCTCCCAAATAATATTTAAGTTTAACCGTTTGCATAAATTTAAGCGCAAAGAAATGCGTTTCACACTCTCGTATATGAAACACTTAAAAAAATTTTGTTTTCATTTTCTTTATATATTTAAAATATTTCACATACCTTAATTTTGGTTTATTCTAAATAATCTTTATGAAATCTTTGGACATCTTTATTTGTCTTTTAAAATAATGGAATTTTTTGCTTAAATAAATATTTTATTTCTTATACTGAGAGAGAAGATACTAATTTAGTGTTTAGTACACTGTTAAAAATTTTTGTTCCAAATTTTATACAAAAATGTTTGAAGCAATTATCATATACAATTTTGAAAAACTACAACACACATTTTTAAATTTAATACAAATTTTCTTATTAAATTTTAAAACACATTTCTTTAAAATTTTCAAATTATTCTTTGGAAAATTAATACAAAGTGTTTGAATGAAATTTCAAATAGTTTTGTTTGAAACTTCAAACAGTTTTGTTTGAAATTTCAAACAAATCTGTTTGAAATACCAAAACGATTTAAATATTTAAATGAAACATCTAAACTGTTTATATTGTGTTTTGACATGTTACAATAAATGTAAATTAATTAAAAAAAAAGTTTTATTGGCATTTTTACGGAAATTCGACACTACGATTTGAACCCTTAGTCGTATATAGTGTTGTCTGTGTATAGTGTGTCTTGTATGGAGCCATCAACCTTGGGAGCTGCGCCTAGACGCGCTCGACCAAGGGAGGCTATGAAAATCTCTTGCAAAGTATCAGTAGTAAGAAACATGTGGACCATTCCCTTTTTTTGACTTCTTCTAAATTTCTAAAGATTCAATATCTTTAAAATTCTTCACCAACCGATTCTTGTATTCTTTACTTTTTTTCTTTTCACGTTTCTGTTAAATTTATGATATGTATTAAGATGTTTAAGAAATATTTAAACAATACTTTATGAACAGCAGATTTTTTATGGAAAAATATT